CCACCCCTCTTAGAATAATCCTCTCACCTATGTCTCAGATATTGAAGCCTTCCAATACTTTGAAGGCCCCAACATGCAGAGAGTCCTTCAGCTGTGATCTGTGCCCAATGCTACAGAGGAAGGCGAAAAACCTCCAGGGCCTCTGCCAATCTACCCTGGAGGAAAATTCCTTCCTGACCCCAAAATCAGCAGTAAATTTCATCTGCCATTTTGTTGCCCAGTCACCTAGTTTTGTGAGATCCTTTTGAAGCTCTTCACAGTCTGCTTTGGTCTTGTATCATCTGCACATTTTGCCACCTCACTGTTTACCCCAGTACGGACCCCTGCAGGACACCATAAACTGACCATTTATTCATACCCTTTGTTTTCGATCTTTTAACCAGTTATCAGTCCATGATAGGACCTTCCTTCTTACCCATGACTGCTTACTTTGCTAAAGAACCTTTGTTGAGGGACCTTGTCAAATGCTTTCTGGAAATCTAAATACAATATATCCTATGAATCCTCTTTGTCCGCATGCTTGTTGACCCCCTCAAAGAACTCTAGTAAATTAGTAAGCCGTGATTTCCCTTTACAGAATCCATGTTGACTTTTCCCCAACAAATTATGTACATCAATGTGTCTGACAATTCTGTTTTTTGCTATAGTTTCAACCAATTTGCCCAGTACAGAAGTTAGATTTATCAGTTAGTAATTGCCAGGCTCTCCTCTAAAGGCCTTTTTAAAAACTGCATCACATTAGCTATCCTCCTGTCATTTGGTACAGAAAATGATTTAAAGGATAGGCTACAAACCATAATTAGTATTTCAGCAAGTTCCCATCTGAGTTCTTTCAGAACTCTTGTGCAAGTTCTCATCTGAGTTCTTTCAGAACTCTTGGGTGAATGCCATCTGGTCCTGGTGACTTGTTACTGGTTAGTTTATCAATTTGTTCGAAAACCTCCTCTCCCCTGACTGTGGCAGGTCCATGCTGGGGAAGAGGCCTCATGGCATGGCTGCACAGCTTAGGGAGAACTTAGGACCAGACTATCATAAAAGAAGATCTGGATGAACTTAAAAACTGGAGTAAAAAAAGTGAAATAAAATTGAACAGTGTGAAATGCAAGGTCACTTAGGCCACCTCTTCACTATGTGGAAAATCGATGCTGCCGCAGTCGATCTTTCGAGGTTTGATTTAGTGGGTCTAGTAAAGACCCACTAAATCAAAGTCAGAGGCTGCCCCTGTCAGTGCCAGTACTCCTGCTCCTCATGCGGAGTAAGAGAAGCTGAGGGAGCATTTGCTCCAGTCAATCTCCTGCTGTGTGGACGCTGTAGAAATGCAATTTAAGATATGTTGACTCCAGCTACATAATTAACATAGCTGGAGTTGCATATCTTAATTCAACCTTCCACTCTAACATAGACCAGGCCTTAGTGACTAATGACAAGAACTTTTGAAATAAGCTGATGATATATGAGGTGGAAGCGACAGAGGAGAAAGACCTAGGCATATTGACTGATCGCAGCAGGACCAGTAACTGCCAATGTGCTGTGACTGTGGAAAAGGCAAATTCAGTCCTAGGATGCATCCGGCGAGGTGTTTTCAGCAAAGACAGAGAGGGACGTGTCGCTGCCATTATACCAGGCATTGGGGAGAGCCCCTCTGGAATTGTGCGAGTGAGTCTGGCCTCCCAGGGGTAAGAAAGGTGCAGAGGAGGAGGATCCGGGGAATGGAAACCTACCTTGTGAGAGGAGCCCAAAGAGCTCGGCCGGTTCAGCCCAACCACGCGAAGGCGGAGGGGGGAGACGATTGCATCCGAGGGCTAACAGCGGGGGAGGGGAGGGGCTATGTACATGAAGGGCCAATGCTGGCACAAGAACAAATGGCCATGAACTGCCCCTCAGCACCTTGTGGCTTGAAAGGAGACAAAGGTTTGGAACCATCAGAGGGTGAAGTTCTGGAGCCGCCTCTCAAGGAGCCATGGGGGCAAAAACCCAACTGGCTGCAAGTCAGAGCTGGGCAAGTTTTGGGGTGGGGGGTGGCCCACGATGCACGGAGCCGACCTGCGACTGCTGGCAGCAAATGTCCCCAGTGGCCGGTGACAGGACGCTAGATGGGGAGGGCTCTGGGTTGCTGCGGAGGATTATTTCCCAGGTGCCTGGCTGCTGGGCTGTGCCCATGTACTCAGGGTCTCACTGGTCACGGATTTGGGGCTGGGCAGGAATTTCCCCCATGTCCGACTGGCAGAGACGCTGGGGAGGGGGGTTACCTTCCGCTGGCAGCTTTCAATTCGTGTCAACGGGTTCTCTGTAACTTTAAATCCGTACATGAGGGCCTCAGGGCCTCAGCCAGGGGATCTGTGCCTGCTACGGGGGGAACGACGACTGTGGCCTGCAGGTCAGAGTTCATGAGCAGGATGGTCCCTCGTGGCTCAAAGGCCTCAGCGGCGTAGCCGTGTTAGTCTGTAACTTTAAAAAAACAAGTGGTCCTGTAGCACTTTAGAGACTAACAAAAAATATAGTCTCATGTGTTCTCATGGGCATGCCCCACTTAGAATCCTAGAATCACAGAGCTGGAAGAAACCTCAGGAGGTCATCAAGTCCAGCTCCCTGCCCAAGGCAGGACCAACCCCAGCTCAATCAACCCAGCCAGGGCTTTGTCAAGCTGGGTATGTCTACACTACCACCCTAGTTCGAACTAGAGTGGTAATGTAGGCAACCGGAGTTGCAAATGAAGCCCGGGATTTGAATTTCCCGGGCTTCATTTACATGTTGTCGG